CATACAGTATCTTACTATATTTTGTAGCAAGCATATTTTTAAATATCACAGAGAAGTGAAGCAGATGGAGAATTTATATACCATACAAATAAGAAAACTTCTTAGAAATTTAAAAACTAAAAAATAGTTTAGAGTTATGCTATACAATTACTTTCAGACCCATAAGAGAGCTGGCATCAGTCTCAAGAAAATCTATAAAATCTAGATATCAATGTAATTAGCAAATAAAAAATATGGTCTACAACTACAATGATCAACTTCTGGCAAATTTTGCAACTCAAGCCACTGGTAAGAGCAAAAAAGAACACTTAATATTTAGTTGACATACATCCTGTTACATCTAGAAGAATACTATGTCTTTCCAGCAGACACTGTCTACTCTTTGTTCCTAATTTGAAATTACTTCTTATAGTCACCTAATCTACTTCTACTTTGTTTTCTTAAATGTCCATAATTTAGGGATTCATGAGCCAAAGGATCAAAGAGCACCATCTCTTCCTATGATATCATACCTCTCTTTACTAGCCAATGAAATTTCTGTTTAAAACCATTTCTATCATTGAGTATAGTAACTAAAGAAAAGAGTATTTTTAAAGGAAAGCTCAACCAGGTAGATGAGGTGTATAACACATTTAGTCATTGAGAACACTGGGATAACTTCAATATTCTTATAAAATCATATATGTATATGCTAATTAAAAAGAGAACATTAAGACAGTACAATATTTAGCATCTTTATTCTGAAAGAATTGACAGCGTTGAGATTCTTTTTAGTTTTAAAATGAAAAAAGTATCTACCTTCATTTATGACTATGTTTTTCCTAAGCAAAGTTAAAAATATATAATGATTTCTGAAATGCGTAAAAGTTAAGGCCAAATTAGAATACGTTTGTCCTAAAACACAAACATTATTTCTTTTTTAAATAATAAAAAGGACTAGCACATGGAGAATCTGAACAACTTTCAACCAAGTGCTTTCTATAGTATTACCAAAGAAATATTTAAATAATATTCTATGCAGTTGAACAAGCTGAATATTTTTTTTTTTTGAGACAGAGTCTTGCTGTGTTGCCCAGGCTAGAGTGAGTGCCGTGCATCAGCTAGCTCAAGCAACCTCAAACTCCTGGGCTCAAGCATCCTCTGCCTCAGCCTCCTGAGTAGCTGGACTACAGGCATGCGCCACCATGCCCGGCTAATTTTTCTTATAATATATAGTTGGCCAGTGCAGTTAATTTCTTTCTATTTATAGTAGAGACGGGGTCTTGCTCTTGCTCAGGCTGGTTTCGAACTCCTGACCTCAAGCAATCCGCCCGCCTCGGCCTCCCAGGGTGCTAGGATTACAGGCGTGAGCCACCGCACCCGGCCACAAGCTGAATATTTTTAAGTTAACAGAGCTAATAAATATTGAGCATCAGTACAGATTTTGAGTTTGGTTATAAAAGATAACCCCAGGCCAGGCGCGGTGGCTCATACCTGTAATTCCAGCACTTGGGAGGCCGAGGCGGGCAGATTGCTGGAGGTCAGGAGTTCAAAACCAGCCTGAGCAAGAGTAAGACCCCGTCTCTACTATAAATAGAAAGAAATAAAAGAAATAAAAAAAATAAAAAAAAAAAGAAAGAAAAGCTAACCCCAATCAGCTAGTAAATGTCTGTCATCCATTTCTTTTTCTTCTTCCTTAATCTTTCCTACCGTGTATCAACTGCTTTACTTTCTATAGCTTCCCCTATTTTCTTTTGCAATAAATATTAAGTAAAAAGAAAGGTAGAAATAAGTCCAGTAAAGACATTAAGTATGATGTACTTTACACACAAATAATATTTGGTAACTTAAGGGTAACATAATTTGCTGCTTAATGTAACTACAATAGTTTCCTCTGACAAAATATTCATTTTTATTACTCAAAATTATGTGGTAACTCCAAGAAAGATCATTAATTCTAATTTATAAACAGCAATGTCTTAGGTCTAGAACTATTCTTGAGCAGATTATAATTGAGATTTAAAGTCACTAACATTTATTTTCACTTGTCAACAATTATTTTCTCAGTTTGTGGAGAAAAAAATCAAAAGTGAAAAGATAATGTATGCTTAAAATAGAATAAGTATATTTCATAAACAGAGTCTACCGGCCTTAAAATTAAAATTTGTATGTTGGCCAGGTGTGGTAGTTCACGCCTGTAATTCTAGCACTCTGGGAGGCCAAGGCGGGAGGATCGCTTGAAGTCAGGAATTTAAGACCAGCCTGAGCAAGAGCTAGACCCCGTCTCTACTAAAAATATAAAGAAATTAATTGACCAACTAAAAATACATAGAAAAAATTAGCCGAGCTTCTGTGGCGCATGCCTGTAGTCCCAGCTACTCAGGAGGCTGAGCAGCAGGATGGTTGAGCCCAGGGTTTGAGGTTGCTGTGAGCTAGGCTGACACCGTGGCACTCACTCTAGCCTGGGCAACAAACCAAGACTCTGTCTCAAAAAAAAAAAAGTTGAAATTAATCTAATACAAAAAAATTAAATAAATATAATTTTAACACTCTGAAAATAAGCAGTGATGCTAATTTTTACTTATCCTTCAAAAACACGTAGCCACAGGGAGGAAGTACAGAAGAGGTAAATGATCCCAATTATCTACCTCTGTTTCTACAACTATATCCACCTTTGTATAACTCCTGCAATCATACAAGGAGAGCAACTATTTCATTTTATTTCTATACTGTTTGAATTTTGTGTCATGTATTAAAACTAATTTTAAACCTAGATCATTTTTTAAGTAAATTCAAAATAATATGAAAAAATGAACATATATGTAAAACATACTTGTTATTTAACAAGTATGGAATTAGTATACCAAGTATTAATATTAAAAACAATAACTGCTATATAACCTAAAGAAAAAGGTCAATACCACAATTACGGTAGTGATTATCTCTAGGTGATAATATTTCTCTTCATTTTTATTAATTTTATTTATGCTATTTTCTAAACTTTGTTAAATGAATCTGTCTTACCTAAGAAACACCTAAAAAAAGCTAGAAAATGCTAAAGGGAAAGATTTTTTCAAAAAAAGAAAAACAATTAAAATGAAAGAAAATATTTTTACATATTCCCAAATAAAAATCGAATATAATAAAATAATCTAGAAAGTATATCATATTGAATATATCATCACTATATTCACCTAATAATGACATCAAGTTGTATCTGCCCCACTTCATGTCTCCATATGAATCTTTTACGGTAACGACAACTTAAATGTAGATGAAGATAGAATGACACAAAGGGTATATATAACTGCCACTCTGGCATTCAACAACTTCTCATAAAATTAAATGTAACCTACATCATCTTCAAAGTAAGTTAAAAAACTAATATATATATGTACTTATAATTATCCTAAAATAATTATGAAAAAGTTAATAGGACTTCTATATTAATATCTGTTAAAATAATTATTCCAATTATTATAACACTTGCTGAATGAATAAATATGTGTAGCAAAACTGTAATCAATACAAAAAATATGGATCACAAGAGAAAGAAAAAATGAAATGTTACTGAGATGCATAAAACTTATATTAATGAATATTTTAAAACTCAGGAATATGAAATTTGAAGTTAAAGCTTTGTTGTAAGAATACAACCACCATAAAAATATATAAAACTTAAAAAAGTATTAGCAAGGATTAGGAGAAAAAGGGAAACTATTCAAAGGCATAAAATATAGAATGAACCAGGGACAGTTGGTCATTTTTAGAATATAAATTGACAACTTATCTATTAACTTTAGACATGCCTAATATCCATTAAAAACAAGATGGTGGGCACTAGACATATTCAAAACCACATTAAGAGAAAATGCTTTCAAACTTAACATTCAGTATAGACTTATATAAATTAACAGAACTCTGAAACCAAAAATTTAGCAGAATGAGATAGAACTGTACTTCATAGCCTAGAATACTAGCAAAACAAAAACTATACTATTTTTTGAAACATGTTTATTTTGCTGTTGAAATCAGAAATTCACACTCCCAAGAGTGCAAACTTTCCCTAACAACAAAGCAATATTCTTCAAGCATTAGGGTTATTTGTATATTTTTTTAGAATTCTAACTTACCGAGTACCATCTGCTTTCCAGCTTACTTTATATGGCTTCTGCTCTAAAAGTTTAATATTTTGTTTGTCCATAGAAACAGGCTGTGCTCCAGGGAATCCAGACCTTAAAGAAGAACATTTTATTACTATCATGGCTGGTATCCATAAAAAGCAATACATGTCTTAAACCACTCTCAAATGAATCACACATTTACCACAATGTTCTCCCTATCATGAGATGAATGTCAATTAAAATAATATCAGCTTTCACAAGAATGCTAATAACAGGTTATCATTTTCTTGACATTTTAGAATTAAGTTAACAACAGAGTTCTAAATTGCTACTAATATACTATAATTATTGGGCTAATTTTAAAATACTCACATATATGATCTTAATAGTAAAGCAGGTAAGTCTTTTGCTTTAAGAAGCTTAAATCTTGGCTTAATGACCTTACATTATTCTAGACCCCATATTTCTCCATCATGACATATACAAATTGACATAATTCTGCAGGATTGGCAATGTTATGCTCAAAAGATGTCCAAAAGTGACAAAACAGGAGAAACATGGGTCAAGATTAAGGTACAATGGCAAGGATTTAACACAACACTAAAACCAATATAATTTATTCTTTATTTTCATCTTTTAATTAAAATTATTTTTAGCTAATTTATCTGATATTTAGGTACTAGTAATAAAAGTTCTTTATATTAGGCATTTATATTATGAATTTTTTACAATTAATAATACTGTTTCCTTGTGTCAAGTTGTATTACAATTTTCTGCCACAGATAGCAATGATCTGTTGAAATGACCATAGATCAAGACCTGAGAACAACAGATAACAGCAGTGAACTCTCTGCTGAACCATCTCCCATGAAATTTCTGATAAATATTTTCAAGTCACTGTAGTGAGCAGAGTATCTTTAAGGTTGACTTCCCCAGGCTTCCGATTACAGAAAAACTGGAAGATGAGGCACATTCAAGTTTCACCTCTTCTCCCTTAATAAAGTGATGAGACCAGCCCAAACATTAACCAGCAGCAATAGAGTCAAAGACATTAAACAAATACTAGTGACAACATGTAATTTTCTATTACTTTAGGAAAACATGTGAGTCATCTAATTTTGATTCAACTGTCTACTGATTATCTTGAAAAATATCTGACATCTTTTTAAGTACTCTCTGTAAACATGCTAATAACTTCAAGAAGCAAAAAGGCTATGTCAATGTTTAATCAATTTTAAGTGTTACAGAGTAAGAAAAAGTTTTATTTAAAACTTTAAAATATTTATTACCCTTCCCAGCCACAGAACTGATGACACTTCTGCTGTACCTCTCCTAACTTTGGTTGAGTTGTTACTTGAGTTACACCTTTAACAGTTACACCTTCCAAGAAAATAGCACCCTTTAAAAAAAAGAAAAGAGAAAGAAAAATATATTTATATTACAATTCAAATTTACAAAGAAGAGACTAAAAGATAAATTAGTTTATTTTGACAAATCTGAACAAGTCAATATATGTAACAGAAATGGTCTGCTACAAGCAGCTCCACAAACACCCCTAGGATTGTACACTGTTTTCCTTAAACCAGCATATATTTTCAATATACATAGCCCAGTGTCTAGGTCAAAGATACTCTCTATAGGCACTTCTCAGTAATCACAACAGTAATAATTTATCTACCATTTACTAAGAGCCAAGCAGAGTAGCTGGTGTTTTACAAAACTTCTCTCCTTAATCCTTACAACAATGAAAAATAGATTGTATTAGATTTATGTAACAGATGAGTAAATAAAGCATAAATATTTTATGTATTTACTCAAGCAGTAAAAGAAAGAATCTGAACACAGGCCTATATTATACTACTCACCAATGGGGGGGGAGGGGGAGAAGGAGTTATGTCATTATGGGTGGGTATGGATCCTAAGGAGATAAACACCCAAAATATATGCCTTTGTAAACTAGAATAAGAGTATAACAGTAGGCAGAGTGGCTAAGCCACAGTCATGGATCAACATAAAAGTAAGTATCACTCATCATTGATTTTTTAATCTAAATTCTTTAACTCAGAACTACATACAGTATCTTACTATATTTTGTAGCAAGCATATTTTTTAAATATCACAGAGAAGTGAAGCAGATGGAGAATTTATATACCATACAAATAAGGAAAACTTCTAGAAATTTTAAAAACTAAAAAAATAGTTTAGAGTTATGCTATACAATTACTTTCAGACCCATAAGAGAGCTGGCATCAGTCTCAAGAAAAATCTATAAAACTCTAGATATCAATGTAATTAGCAAATAAAAAATATGGTCTACAAACTACAACGATCAACTTCTGGCAAATTTTGGCAACTCAAGCCACTGGTAAGAGCAAAAAAGAACACTTAATATTTAGTTGACATACATCCCTGTTACATCTAGAAGAATACTATGTCCTTCCAGCAGACACTGGTCCTACTCTTTGTTCCTAATTTGAAATTACTTCTTATAGTCACCTAATCTATCTTCTACTTTGTTTTCCTTAAATGTCCATAATTTAGGGATGTCATGAGCCAAAGGATCAAAGAGCACCATCCCTCTCCTATGATACCATTACCTCTCTTTACTAGCCAATGAAATTTCTGTTTTAAAACCATTTCTATCATTGAGTATAGTAACTAAAGAAAAGAGTATTTTTAAAGGAAAGCTCAACCAGGTAGATGAGGTGTATAACACATTTAGTCATTGAGAACACTGGGATAACTTCAATATTCTTATAAAATCATATATTGTATATGCTAATTAAAAAGAGAACATTAAGACAGTACAATATTTAGCATCTTTATTCTGAAAGAATTGACAGCGTTGGAGATTTCTTTTTAAGTTTTAAATGAAAAAAGTATCTACCTTCATTTATGACTATGTTTTTCCTAAGCAAAGTTAAGAAATATATAATGATTTCTGAAATGCGTAAAAGTTAAGGCCAAATTAGAATACGTTTGTCCTAAAAACACAAACATTATTTCTTTTTTTAAATAATAAAAAGGACTAGCACATGGAGAATCTGAACAACTTTCAACCAAGTGCTTTTCTATAGTATTACCAAAGAAATATTTAAATAATATTTCTATGCAGTTGAACAAGCTGAATATTTTTTTTTTTTTTGAGACAGAGTCTTGCTGTGTTGCCCAGGCTAGAGTGAGTGCCGTGGCATCAGTCTAGCTCATAGCAACCTCAAACTCCTGGGCTCAAGCAATCCTCCTGCCTCAGCCTCCTGAGTAGCTGGGACTACAGGCATGCGCCACCATGCCTGGCTAATTTTTCTATATATATATTAGTTGGCCAGTTAATTTCGTTCTATTTATAGTAGAGACGGGTCTTGCTCTTGCTCAGGCTGGTTCGAACTCCTGACCTCAAGCAATCGCCCGCCTCGGCCTCCCAGGGTGCTAGGATTACAGGCGTGAGCCACCGCACCCGGCTACAAGCTGAATATTTTTAAGTTACAGAGCTAGAGCTAATAAATATTGAGCATCAGTACAGATTTTGAGTTTGGTTATAAAAGATAAACCCCAGGCCAGCGCGGTGGCTCATACCTGTAATTCTAGCACTTGGAGCCGAGGCGGGCAGATTGCTGGAGGTCAGGAGTTTGAAACCAGCCTGAGCAAGAGCAAGACCCCGTCTCTACTATAAATAGAAAGAAATAAAAAGAAATAAAAAAAGAAAGAAAGAAAAGCTAACCCAATCAGCTAGTAAATGTCTGTCATCCATTTCTTTCTTCTTCTTAATCTTTCCTACCGTGTATAACTGCTTTACTTTCTATAGCTTCCCCTATTTTCTTTTGCAATAAATATTAAGTAAAAGAAAGTAGAAATAAGTCCAGTAAAGACATTAAGTATGATGTACTTTACACACAAATAATATTTGTAACTTAAGGGTAACATAATTTGCTGCTTAATGTAACTACAATATTTCCTCTGACAAAATATTCATTTTATTACTCAAAATTGTGTGGTAACTCCAAGAAAGATCATTAATTCTAATTTAAAACAGCAATGTCTTAGGTCTAGAACTATTCTTGAGCAGATTATAATTGAGATTTAAAGTCACTAACATTTATTTTCACTTGTCAACAATTATTTTCTCAGTTTGTGGAGAAAAAAATCAAAAGTGAAAAGATAATGTATGCTTAAAATAGAATAAGTATATTTCATAAACAGAGTCTACCGGCCTTAAAATTAAAATTTGTATGTTGGCCAGGTGTGGTGGTTCACGCCTGTAATTCTAGCACTCTGGGAGGCCAAGGCGGGAGGATCGCTTGAAGTCAGGAATTTAAGACCAGCCTGAGCAAGAGCTAGACCCCGTCTCTACTAAAAATATAAAGAAATTAATTGACCAACTAAAAATACATAGAAAAAATTAGCCAGGCATGGTGGCATACGCCTGTAGTCCCAACTACTAGGGAGGCTGAGGCAGGAGGATTGCTTGAGCCCAGGAGTTTGAAGTTGCTGTGAGCTAGGATGAAGCCATGGCATTCTAGCCCGGGCAACAGAGACCCTGTCAAAAAAAAAAAAAAAAGGCCGGGCATGGTGGCTCAAGCTTGTAATCCTAGCACTCTGGGAGGCCGAAGCAGGTGGATCGCTCAAGATCAGGAGTTCGAGACCAGCCTGAACAAGAGCGAGATCCCGTCTCTACTAAAAATAGAAAGAAATTAATTGGCCAACTAAATATATATAGAAAAGATTAGCCAGGCATGGTGGCGCATGCCTATAGTCCCAGCTACTTGGGAGGCTGAGGCAGGAGGATCACCTGAGCCTAGGAGTTTGAGGTTGCTGTGAGCTAGGCTGACACCATGGCACTCTAGCCCAGGCAACAGAGTGAGACTCTGTCTAAAAAAAAAAAAAATTGTATGTCTATTACAAACAGGTCAAAAAGGAATGAGTGATCCTTTAGAAGGAAATTAATTCAGAAGATGGAGGCAATTGATATGTGAGAGCCATGTGTCTGTGTGTGTGTAAAGAAAGAATGTATACAAGTGTATATGTGTAATAAGCACATTTTCATAATGAGGAAAATACGTTATTGGTTTTATTCAAAAAAATGATCTCGGACATCAAAGGAGCAAGCAACATCCCTATAAGTCATACTCTTCCAACTCAGTAATGGCATATGCTCAAAAGATGAATAAAGAAGGTCTCTTAGGCTGGGTGTGGTGGCTCACACATGTAATCCTAGCACTTTGGGAGGCCAAGGTGGGAGGATTGCTCGAAGTCAGGAATTTAAGACCAGCCTGAGCAAGAGCAAGACCCCGTCTCTACTAAAAATAGAAAGAAATTAGCTGGACAACTAAAAATACATAGAAAATAAATAAAGAAAAAAAAAGGTGTCTTAGTCTTAGGAAAGTGAGGGGCCAAGCACAAAACGTGCACCACTGTTGTGAACCCAAAGAAAACTATCAGAATTCACTACAAGGAGTCCATTACTTCAAATCATAGTTACATCAATGTGAGTGTCAAGAAAGGAGGACTCTAACAAATAAAGTCTCAAGCTAAAATAACCTCATTATGTCAAGAGATGGGAGCTACAAAAGAATCACTCTGAGATTGCCTCTGTTAACTATCTTCAACCTCAGAGAGAAATAAAATATGAAAGCTTTCCCAAATGTGAATTTGACAATTAATTACATCTACACTTCTCATCCCTGTCAACCATGTCAACTACTGTTGACATCACTCACAATTCAACTCTGTTAAGTCACCTCTGATGGTTTTGTCCTCATTGTTTTAGTGCCCCTAATCCTTGGTTCATCTTACCAATAATCACCTTCCCAAAGAGTTCCAACATAAACCCTGACATCTTTTTATAAATAACTTTCCCCTATAAACTCAACCTTTTTCTTGAATACTTCACACTCTGTGTCTTAACTAAAAGCTAGCTCTCTCCAGGAAGACCACTTCTCTCTTAAACCTACTTATTCTCCCATTGCCCAAATCCCATGGAAGTGGCATAAACTATGCTACATCTTTCACTGCTTTCCTAATCTCTTTCAAAAGCCCCTATTCCATTTATACTAACTCCATTCAACTATATCACATAGCTGTGGTAAAGCAGACATCCACTGTGGTTGATGGCACAACTCTCTTTAAAAGCTGCCCTCCCATCCACAAAGATGGGGCCTAACAGCCATGTTACATGACAGTACAGGATAACATCCCAGTCCAGCCAAAGCTGATGAGAACATGAGTGAACCCCTAACTCAATCTAAATCCATCAGATTCAGTTGCCTGATAATTTGGAATTGGGATTCAGAGACAGGCAGTTAGTCTCTGCATGTGGCTAAAATTATAAGAGGTTAGTTTAGAAGCTGTGGAACACATATAATCTCCCCGGAAAGCGAGGAATCAGAAGAACCAGGGACAGTA